AGACAGGCTGTGGGGCAGCACAAATCTGGGTTTATTTTCACGTCGGCCAAGCACGGAGACAGGTGACCCCGGGGGGGCCACGGGAGCCGTGGTGGCAGAGCTGGGCCCCGGCAGCCAGGCAGCCCGCGCTGAGGGGGTGACCCACATTTTGGGGCTGCTCTGCCCTCCGCCTGCAGTGGCTGTGCCCAGGTGGCCCATTGGCCATTTTGGCTACCCCGCCTGCACGCGGAGCTGGGCTTTCTCTGCAAAACTCATTTTGCCCCAACTCCCAGGGCTGCTCGGCACAAGCAGCACTCAGGAGGGCTGCGGCGGAGTGGGGGGAGCTGCAGCAGGAGGGGCTGATGCCCAGATTATCGCCCGTGGGGTTTTGGGGGCTACCCTGGCTCGGGAGGAGCGAGCCAACAGCTCTGGCCAAGGGAGAGCTGCTCCTGCACTGAGACCCTCGCGGCTGGGAGCAGACGTGGGGAGACGCAGCTCGGTTCATGTTCCCCCCATGACCAGCACTGGGACTGGTAGCGCTTTAGACCATTTATTCTTTCAGTCCGTGCGCTTTAGGATTAGTCATTTAATTGTAGGAAAAACAGTGAATCCGACAAGTGCGTCTTGTGTTTTATTTAGGAAGCTCGACTTGGAAAATTTTTTTAAAAATAATATTTCTTTTCTGCTCCCTTCATAAATTACTGACACATTCAGCGCTGAAGGGCCCCGCATGCTGCCTGGGGATTCATTATCGTCACTTTTAGGGATGTCACTGTCTCTTCCTGTAGTCAGGAGTGCGAGGAGCGACATGTTAATGATGTTTTCGGGGAAGCCAAACTCACCCCTCGGCTGCGCTCGCTGGCTCGCAGAGGCGCGGATCCGGCGGCCTCGCAGCTGGTGGGAGTCAGAGAGGTTCCTAATTAGGCGCTTTCAGCTCTCGGAGCCTTCTGTCTCGTGAACACCGAGTCGCACGCGGCAGCCGCTGCTTCGCCGACCGTGACGGCGTCGGCGCTGAAGTGTGGCCGAGCTTCCAGCACCTTCTCCCAGAGAATGGGAAGGATTTGCCGGCCGCCTTCCTCCCTTTGCTCCTCGGGGGCTGGCACCCGCCCTGGTCCTTCCTCACGGTCACACGGAGCCGTGCCAGGGCTCGTGTGTCGGTGCGAGGCCACGGACGGAGCTGCTCCCCGCTGGGCATCCCTGGGGTGGAGGGGGCGGCTGTGGGGCCGGCGCTGCCCATCCCGCTCTGGAGAAGCATCTCATGGGCTGACGAACCTGAGATTGACCCTTATATTTCACCATTCTCAGGTTAGACAGTCCTGGAGGTGCCCCTCGCTTGGGCAGCCGCCAAACTCCATGCCATGCACCCTGTGCCCCCCTCCCTGTCCCTCCTCACCTTTGAGGAATTTGGAAGAAAAAGCGGAGAAGCAGCCCCTTGGTTCTGCGCTTCAGCTTCTCTCTGTCCCAACTCAACCCCTGGGCTCTGCATGGAACAGCCCCTTCCCGAAAACACGCCGGTGGGAGGCTGTTTGCCCCCGGGGCCGCCTTGATACACAGGGTCAAGGCTGTCGCAGAGGGAAAGGGGTGTCTGGCAGGGCTGAACCCCTGCCTGCACACTGCCTGCGCCGGGCTGGCAGCAAACCCTCCATGCTTTCCCCTTCGTTTTGGTTCCCACCGTTGCACGTTGCTCGCAGCAGCACCCGGGACTGTTTCTGGGCTCGACATCCCCACGCTGGGAGGGGCAGGAGGGGGGACGTGTCCCCGGGCTGAATGGCCATGCCTGGAGGTTTAACAGCCAGCGGTGGATATTTTTGTCCCTGTTACATGTGGCACTGGGACTCAGGGTTTGCAGTAGGGTTACCTGTGGGACCCACCCGATCCTCCTAACATCCCAGCCCTGCACGGTCCCATTGAGTCACTTGACTGAAATTCCCGCTCAAGCCAAACCTCTGCAGCACATGGGCATCTCCTGCTGCCTCGGACTCGGCAGCCAACGGGCTTTTGCTCCTGTAAGGAACCTGTCGTGGCCCTGCAGGGTTTTTGAAGGGCTCAGGCCACGTGTGTAAGACTTGTCCCCCTGCAACCCCCCGGGGTAAATGGCAGGAGGTGCCCAGGGCCTCTGAGCTGTGTCGGGCAGGGACTGCAGTCGGTGCAAACCACCTCCAGTCGAGCCACGTTCATGGACTCAGGAAGGTTGGGAAGGAGAAGCAGGGATGGTCGTGATGGCCGGGGCTGTGGCTCTGCTCTGCTCACCCCAGCAGCCCAGGCTGTGTGTGATCCTGGGTTCAGTGGTGGGGGAAAACTTCACCCTCTTCGGTGGTGGGCTCAGGGAGGAGGGCAGCGGTGTGAGCCGCGTGAAATCTTGGCCCTACTTCTCTCCTGTCTGGATTTATTCTTGTTTTTAAAAGAAAGGAGGCGCATGCCGGCGGGTGTGACAGCCTCTTGGTAAGCACGTGGAGGGGCTGTAGGAGCGGGAAGGCTGCATGTCTGCTGGAACAGGCAC